CTTAATACAAAACTGAACAAGAAAACCAACTGTTATTTATGTTAAAAATTGTGATCCTAATCTGTGTTTTCTCTTACATGTACTTCTACTACTGTCATAATATTTGTCTCCAGTAGGGCCAGACAGCCTCCAAACCAACCACCTCCATGTGGGTGAAAGCCCTTAATCTCCTCTCAGCGCACAGTACAAAAAAGGGAAATATATTAAACGGAAAAAAAACAGTCACAAAAAATAAAATGCTAGAGGGGGGCCATGGAGAGCATATGACCATTAGTTGACCTGACAGCTGTCAGCATAATTGGAGGCTCCACCCCACCCCCCAAAGCTCCGGTCCCTGGCATGTGCACTGTGACCCGTTCCCACAGGGGGAGCCATTTCAAGGACACGGCCTTGAGAGAATAATGTGTGTTGAGCCCATCTGGACCCTGTTAAGGCCTCTCTAAACTTAGGATCCTGGCGGGTAGATGTGGCCATCTCATCTTGAGGCAGCCAGACACAAGCCTCATTAATAAGTCCCCTTGCTTATTATACCTGCCACCTACCCATCTAAAGTGGCCTGTCTCTCTGTGGTCTTTCCTTGCTGTAACTCCAGGGGAAAAATATGTTCCCAGCCCAGGGCACATTACATTTGAAGCTGAAATCAGTCAAAGGGAGAGATAAAGTGGGAGAAACCTGTTCATTGCTTACAAGCAGTCACCGACTTCTGCTCGCCCGTGTCTCTCGGGACCTGGCTGCAAAACAAGGGACCCCACCAAACCTCTCCAGTCCAGATATATCCTCACTCCAACCCTTGTACTCACCTACTGATATGGCCTACTTCTCTCCACACCTTGGAAACACCTATTGATATGGAGATGCACTAAGGCCAGGTGAGAGATTCTGGAAATATCTGTTTTTACCCATACTTGCTCTCCATGTACAGGGGCCAGTTTGGATTTTACCCAATAAACTCTTGAGGTTGCAAACCCACAGCCTCTGAGACCTCACTAGACCCACCTGTCAGCCTATCATGGCACTGCCCAAATGTGAAGTGACCAGCAACCTTCAGGCCCCTGCGAAACCATTGGTCTGGAGGACAGGAACTGTGTTGCGTCCACCTCCATGCCCTCAGCACTCAGCACTGTATCTGGCACATAGTAGGTGCTCAATAAATTTTTGTGGAATGAGTAATTGCAACTTTTTGCTAGGTGGTTTCCGTCTAGTTGAAATATACTATAACATGCAAATAAGTTACGAATGTACAAAGGAGTAAGATTCTAAGAAAGACTCAGTAGGACTTCCTAAGGCTGCACAGGGGTAAGAGTGCATTTACGTGAAGCAGCTTTTCTGCTCTAAGAAAGTGCACACATGACACAGCACTGGGCAGGGCACTGATGTCTATATTCAGAGTCTTGTGGTGTATTTTCTAGAAAGACCAGCAATGTGTGCAGCACACAGGTAGGACAGGCATAGCAGACACTCTATTAAAATAATTTAATGCTTTTGTTCCCTACATGTTCCCATTTTCCCCATTTCAAGCCTGAACCTGAAGTCTGGCCCTAGATATTTCTTTGCCTCAAGAACTTTTGCCTAAGGGAAAATTTGAAGTTGGGCTCCTTTGAAATCCAGTTTAAATCCAACTACATAGGAAAAGGAGAGAGGAGTCTACTTTTGAGAACACCGGGGCAGAAACTGACCAAAAGGATTTCTGAGGTCAGAGGTCAGCTGGAGCTGCCTAGCAAGGGAGCTACCAGTCAAGGGTGTCACCCCGAAGGGGGGTGAGCAAGGAGGTTGAGTGTCCTTTGTGTAGGGAGTTGAATTAGTGTCCTCCAAAATTCACAGTCCCCAGGAACCTCAGAAAGTGATCATATTTGGAAACAGAGTTTTGCACATGTAATAGTTCAACAAATTAACATAAGGTCATACTGGTTTAGGGTGGGCCCTAACTCCATGACTGGTGTCCTGATAAGAGAAGACAAAAGACTCACAGACACACACAGCCATGTGAAGATGGAGGCAGGGATCAAAGTGATACCTCCAGAAGCCAAGGCAGGCCAAGGATTGCCAGGATACCAGAAGCTGGGAGAAGCATGGAACAGATTCTCTCTGAGCTTCCAAAAGGATCCCATACCGCTGATCCCCTGATTTCAGACTTCTGGCCTCTTGAACATTGGACAAAATACATTTGTTTTTGGCCACCTTGTTTGCAGTAATTTGTTACAGCAGCTTTAGGAAGCTAACACATCAAGGAAGGCTGAACCCCAGGACAAGGATATTAAGAAGCCACGGTCCTTTATGGGTCCTGCAGCCTAGAACAGTGAAGGCTCTGCTGTTACTGTGAGGATCGCTGAGAAGCAAAGTTCCCTCATAATGGGCCCCACATTAGACCTCTGGATCTTTGCACAACCTCAGGGTTTGAGGAGCCCCCGTAATGGCTGTTAGTGAATTTTCATCATCCTGGCAAGATGGAGATCTGTTGATTTCAAGGATATAACATGTAATTTAACCAGAGTTTCTGGGCTGACTCATATTTGTTATATATAGTTTGTAAAGAAGAATACTGTAAGAAAACAAGTGAAAAAACATACATTGAGACTCTACCAAGGGGGATCTAAACTGCTCGGTTTGTATTTACTTCCTTAGACAGTGGGAGCCATTGAAGTTTTAAGGGTTTTAAGCTTGGGAGTGTCTTGGGGGAAGGGAGGAGAGGCTTCAGGAAAAAAGAATTTGATGATAGTTGTTATCATGTATCAGGTATCTGTCTGTAAGTAACAGAACCATGATGTTAAGCGGCTTAAACAAGAGAATTGTATTGACTTTTACAATAGAAAGTCTATAGGCATCGGGTACAGTGTGATCAGGGCACTGGAGCTACTTTGTTTCTGTTTGGCTTCCCTTATGAGCACAAAGTGTTTCATATCCAGTTGGAAATAGAGACGCTTCCCAGGGCTTATACTCGAGAACTTCTTTCCTAGCGGACCCAAGCATATTTCTCTTTAGCTTACTGATCTACATAAGGATTAAATGTACTTATTCCTGAGCCTAATTATGGCAAAGAGATCAGGATGGTCATGACCGGCCAACCTTGATCAGCCAGTTGCCTTAGCACGGATGTTGGGTCTAATATCTGTGAGCAGTGTACGGTATATGGTCCTGCTTGGTAGTTCTACTGACTCAACTGCCCTCAAGACTCTCAGGGCTGGCAGGAGGCTGAAGAGCCATGTGCCCTACATTCCCTGTAGTGTGAAATCTCCTGTACGGCTCTCCTTTGACATGTTTACTCCTGAGGTGGGCACTTGCTGCCTGGGCAGCCCACACATAGTCAGCTGGTGGCCCATGACCCATGAGGTCTGCCAATCAGATTCCCACCCTCAGAAAACTAAAATCTGGAATGGATGGACAGTGGGAGGGCAGCTGCAAGGACTGTTTCCACAGTCGCCATGATGTAAAGGGGCTGGGGCCACAAACACACAGAAAACTGTTAGGGCAGCCCCCAGGACTTACCAGGGAAAGCCAATGGGCTGGGAGAGAATGGGGCAGAGAGGAGAGGAGAGGCCCAGAGCCAGAGCCCTAGAGAAGGGCTGTCTTCCTTCCTGCTGCCCACCCCCAGCTTCAGTCTATACATACCTACATTATCTCTTTTTATCTAAGTTAGGTCCCAAAACTCTTAAGTAAAACACTGCTTAAAACACAGACTGCCACGTGCCGGCAGCTCTGACAAGCAAGGCAGCCCTTTCTTTTTCTGCCCAGTCACCCACATGGCATCAGAATCCATTAGGATCTTTCCACTCGGATACATAGTTGGATGTGCCCAGAAAGGGGGAGGGGAAGGATGAAATCAATTTCCTTCACCATTATTACTGAGAGCTTTGCTGCTGCTCTGAAATCAGGAGGGGGTGAGGAGGAGAACTAAATCAATGTCAATAAACAGTTCCTGAGAGAATGTTGGTTCTTGGCTTCAAAGCAGAGCAGCTGGATGATCTGGGGCCACTTACTTGCCCAATCTGATCCTCTCTGACCCTACTAGGTTGTAATAGTATACTTTGAACTATTGCAGCATTTCCTATTTCACAAAGTGCTTTCCTGTATATTATTTATTTGATCTGTGCAGTGAACACTTATTAATTCATTTGGGAACTGTTTATTGAGCATCTACCCTGTTACTGGTGTGAGATGGGCACTGCAGTCATCAGGGAGCAAAACACGACGCATTTCTCTGTCCACAGAAAGCTGAGTCAAACTAGAAGGCAAAAGCCACCAACTATATAATCACACAGAGCAACAGGGCACTGCAAGCACTTGTCCCTGTGAGGCCAGTAGGAGGACCACTCATGTATTGTGGACAAAGACTTGGACCGGGATGATAAGGCAAGCCACACCTCCAGGTGTTGAATGTGAGTACTTGTTAGAAGGTTTCCCTAGCTGGAGGATGCTGTCGCTGGACAGAACCTTAGTCGATGCTCCTAGGAAACATCTCTGCTCCAGTAAAGCATTTTGGGTAATGCCCTGGGGAATGCTAAGCGCAGTGAATGAGATGACTCATTTCTCAGAAAAAGCAAAGCCCACAGCGTGCTTCCAGGTAGGCCAAAGGGCTCACCCCACCCCACTAGAATTGAAACAAAATTCAGTGGGGCTTGGGGGGCAAGAGCAGATCATGAAACACCCAGCTTTTCTCTCAAAATCATGGAGGGCAGGAAAGTCAGCCAGGTGGCAGGCTTCACATGCAGCTCGGAAGGATTCCTCGGGGGATTCTTGCGGACCCACCTTCTTTGTTTTAGCTTTCTCCCCACCTTACCCTTGCTCTTCGCACTGTGTTTCTATTTCTCTCAGCCTTCCCCTTCTAGTGGTGAATTTTCTCATTCTCTCCCCTCCCTCTCCTTCTAAATCCACTTCTGTTCTATTACTTTCTTCTCTGAATAACTCTCCTTTTCTCCCCAGACCCCAGAAGTCTTCCCCAACACTGTCTCCCCATTCCCTGGGGCAGGTCACCTCCATGAAGTGGGCAGGATTTGACAATGGAGAACAGCATCCACACAACTTTTATTGAGCATTTACTATGTGCTAAGGGCAGTTTCAAGGGTTCCCCATGTATGCGTCCACTTGGTCCTCACTACAACCTCCTGGGATGCACAGCGATTAGGCTGGTTTTCACAGACGAGGAATCTGAGGCACAGGGCTCAGTCAGCTTAGGAATTCTGTACGTAGCCCAAGATCGTACATCCAGTGAGTGGCAGTGCAGGATCTGAACCAAGAAGTCTGATGCAGCTGACCTGCATCTGAAGCATCCCTCTGAGAAAGGATGGCCTCCAGAGCTCTCCCGTCCCACTGCAACAGGAATGACTGGCGCGATGGCAGCTGGAATAACTGACCCCTAGGCCAAGCTGTGCCTCTTTCCTCCTAGCATTCCAAAAAAAAGGTTGCAAAAGAGTTAAAGTCCCGGTAAGGGGATAAAAACTCTATAACCAGAATATTTTTTATGCCTCTAAAATCCTGTGCAGCATTTAGCTTCTACAATCGGCATTCTGCCACGGAGCAAGACGTCTCCACTGCCCCGACTTCCCTCCAAGGAGACTGGGCAAACACCCCTGCAAACCTGACCCCAAAGGGGATTCCGCTTAGGAAGCCCCAGCCCCAGGCCGCCTTGGGGTCGGCCCCGGCCTGAGGTCCCGCTGCCGGGCTCTCCCCCTGCTCCGGCCCGCGTTGCAGCCTCCGCGTGTGTAAGGGAGAAACGGCGGCGGGCAGGCGAGCCGGGGCTGGGGCCGGGCCGCGGGGGCCGCTCTGCGGCTCCACACCGGGCCCCGGCTCGGGCCTCTCCGGCGCCCCGGCCCCGCCGCGCTCCTCCCCTCCCCTCCCCCTCCCTAAGTCCCACCTCGAGTCCCGCGCCCTGAGAGGACGCCGGTGGCTGTGCCCAGTCGCCAGTAGGGGGACTGGTCCCTTCCCGCTACGGTATTCCGGGCCCAGGCTCTTCAGGGCCCCGACACGTCCTCTCGGTGGGTGCCCGCCGCCTCCGCCACTGAGGCTGGTCCCACCGGACCCGGGCCGCTGTCCCCTGGCCTGGCCGGCTGGTGGGCGGCGACGTCGGCGCGAATACCGCCGGACTGTGCCCGCAGAGCCCCTCTGGGGCGGCCATCCGGTCCCCGCGCAGCCTTAGGCGTCTCCCCGGCCGGGCCTCCGCCGAGCCCGCGGCGGCCCACGTGGCCCCGGGGCTCCGGATTCCGCCCGCAGGCGCCGGGCGCGGGTGGGGGCGCGGCGGGGGGAGCGCGGGGCCCGAGGGGCGGGCGCTGGGCGGAGGAAGGGGAGGGCCGCGGCCGCCTCGGCTCCCGCCCCGCCCCGGCGGGCCCCGCTCCCGGCCGGGCCGCCCACCCCGCCTCCCGCTGCACCCGGGGGAAGGTGTTCCCGAGGCCGCTCCCACCCTCAGCCCGCCTCCCGCGCCCCCGGCTCCAGCCCCCGCCGGCGGAGCTCCACTATGCCAGACAGTTTCGACACTTTGCAAAGACAAAGAGCAGAGCGAGGAGGAAGGGGAGGACGGGGTGCAAGGAGAGGAGGAGGGGGCGATGCGAGCTTCGCAGCGGGCAGCGCTCGGAACACCGGCCCGCCTTTGACCCTCCGACCCCTCTCCTCCCCGCAGCGCCGGGAACTCCCCCGTGCCTCCAGCCGCGGTGAGTGGGCGCGCCGCGCCGAGCGCTGCCCGGGGGCGCGGGGGCTGCGTCCGCCGGAGTTGGGGCTCGGGCAGTTCCGTGCGTTCCCTGAGTGGAGGGGTGATTGCCCGTGCCCGGGAGAAGTGGCGGCGAGGGCTCGAGCAAGGTGTGACAGTGGCGGTGGGACCGATGAGCCTGGGCGCTCATCGGAAGACACATGCAGGGGGACCCTGCCCTCGACGCGGCGTCCCTGGGGTCTTTGGGAGAGGAAGGAGGTCGGGGAGGAGGCTTGGGCTCGGGGATCTTCAGCCGGTACTGGGAGAGCTTCTGAGAGCCAAGCGGGCAGCCTACGCCGGGGCAGCAGTCCCCGGGACGGCCCCAGTGACACTGCACCCAGCGCCAGGCTGGCATCTCCCGGGGTCGGGACCGCCAGAGGGCGGAGCGACCAGCGGGGCCGCGGGTGGGATGAGACCCCCGCGGGACTGCTGGGCTTCGGCGTTTGGGAGCGAAGTCGGGGCCGCGGGGAATCCGGTCAAGCGGCGGTGGGACGGTATCTGGATGGAGCCTCCAAATCCGTTGCGAGCAGGCGCAGATCCGGGAAGCGGCCATCGCCCGCGGGGACGCCGCCGGCCCACGTTGCTCCGGAGACATTGGAGAAGTTGGCGCCCGGGACGCGCAGCTGGACGCAGCGTGGTGCGCGGGAGGCACTGGGGTGGGCGAAGGAGTGCGTGGCGGGGGTGGCGCTGGTGGCAACTCGAAGTCCGCTCAACCCCGTTAGGCGCCGCAGCTGCCGAGAAATAATCTGACAAAAAGTTAGCAACTTGTGTGCTTCTCTCTCGTGTGTGATCTGCGCGGGGCAGGGGCTGCTCCTCGGGAGAGCGCGGAGGCGGGCAGAGAGGACACGGATGGAGCTCCTGAATGGGAGCTGGATTCGGAGTCGGGACGGTGGCGCAACTTTCCGCTGGTGCTTCGATTAAGCGTGTGTGTTTGAGCGTGACCTTGCAGGAGGAAGCGCGGCTGAACTTGAGAAGGGGTTGAGGTTGCGTCGGGGCTGGGCACATATAACGCCCGAGCGCGCCTTCTCCTCAACTCGCAGCCGGGGCCGGGGGAGGGGTGTGCGGATTGTCTGGGCTCTGTTGTCGGCCGGAGCCCTGGGTCTGTCCTCCCTGCTCTCGGAGGATCCCAGCCAGCGCCCGCCACGCGCCGGGCTTGGTGGGGCGCTCGGCTGGCGGACACGTACGGGCCCAGAAGTGCGCGAGTGGCTGGGTGCAGGGCGGGTCACTGCGTCTCGCGGCTCAGGGTGTCCCGCAGAGGGAGACAGACAGCCTTGACCCCAAGGGCAGCGGCCTCGCCCCGTGGCCCCATTAAGCAAGTGCCTGGCTTTCACTTATCCGCTTCCAGGGTCCCCTCGCCGCCCCCAGCTCATCACCTTACGGGTCTTCCTGACACTCGGATTTGCTGCAGGAGTTTCCCAGAGAGACAGCGAGGGCGCACCCCTCTCTGCGGCTGAGTGAGTGTGTGCGCGTGCAGGGAGAAAGAGATAAGGATGGAACGAGGTTGTTCAGTCGTCGCCCCCGCGCCTGGCACACAGGAGGCACTAGCGCTGCTGGAAAAGGCCTCTGCTATGGAAGGCGGGGGCCGGGACGTCCCCTTCTCTCCTCCCCATTTCCAGTGTTCAGTTCACATTCATCCACCTAGCCAAGCCTTTTCGGCTTCCAGACGCACCTTGAGCTCCCACTACGTGCGGGGCTGAAACCGGGCTGTTGCTCTCAGAGGCTGCGGGTGGAGCCGCCTGGTTTTCCTCTCCCCGAGCGGCGGGGAGCGCCCCGGAGGTTCGGAAAAGGCGAAGAACACTGCTCCCTGCCGGCCGCTCGGGAAACTGCCGCTGGCTCCAAGGTTGGGTAGGGGCGCCCGCGCACTCCTCACCCAGCCTTTCTGCACCTCCCCTTCCTGCCCCCAACCAGCAGGGCCTGGCCATTTCCTGAAATCTCCTGGTTGGCTGAACGGACAGATCCGAGTTCACCACTCCATAACCCCTGCCTCTGCCCATATCCGGGTTCAGAATTGGGGGTGATCCTAGTCCCCTGTCGTCCTGTCCCGGACTGGCCATGAGAGTTTTTGGAGTCTCGGTTTCCGTATCTGTAAAATGGCATCATTACTACTACCTTCAAATGTGTTGCACGGAATAAATATGACGTCATTGTGTGAATGTATACGTGTGAATGTGTATATACATACCTTCACACACTATATATGTAGGTACACATGTATATGCATATATGAATGTGTATCTGCCTTGACTTTAAGTCGGTGGGGAGGAATGTCATCATTTCAAAAAAACTTATTTTTGCTAAATAAATAAATGAGTAAGTAGAGGGCCCCTTCCCCACCTTTGAGCAATCCCACCCGAGCCTGGAAAGGTGCTACCCCTGCGATTTGCTAGGCCTGTGTGTGCTGTCTAGGTTTTACCACCGGGGCGGGGCCAGGGCCTGGGCCTGGCGGCACAGGGTCCTCCCCCTGCCCTCCCCTGCTGGCAGGCCCCAGCACCCACCTGGAGCACCCGGCTCAGAGAGAAAAACAGGAAATGTTGCCAGAAATGAGGCAGAGGGCTGTTAGGGGTGTGGATTCTGCTCCTTGCGGCCGCAGCTAGCGGGCCGAAGCTAACTTCTGAGTGGCATTCTTGCTGACCTCCTAGGGTTGTGGGTTCCCCAGCATCCCTCTTGAAGTCAGGGACAGGCACAGAATTGGCAGTTGGGAGGTCCCTCACTTAGGGTTGGGTCTGGCAGTGAGGGGGTCCTTGGAGGTTCTGGAGCCTCAAGGGTGCATGGGGCTTTGGGTCAGGTGGGCCTCCACCTCCCCTCTCTACCAAGCAGCCCCCCCACCCCCAGGCCAGGACATCACTTGGAGGCAAGCAATGGGCAGTCCCTCAGACAGGGGCCTCTTTGAATCTCCTGGTCAGTTAACCTTGCTTGAGTCTGTTGCTGTGTAGCAGGCTGCTGATTCGTTATGTTTGGACACAGCTTTATGAGATCTAAACCATAACCCTCTTCCTAGGCCCCCTCCCACAGCGCAAAAAACAACCAAGAAAGTGAAAAATAAAATCCACCAGTCACCTTTTTATCCTGCTTCCCAGTGAAACCTCTAAGCACACGTGCGTGCACACGGATGCATGCCATAGGCGGATGGAGGAGCTCGCCTAATCACAAAAAATTTTGAGTAAGGTTTCCATAGGTTCTGCTCGGTATGGAGATTGTGGGGAGCCTTCAGCACCACCTCACAGACCCGAGGATCTGAGAGCTCTCTTACGCTCTCATTTGGACACCGGAGTCCAACCTTGGGCCCTACTGAGAACCTCAGATCTGGTCCCAGGGCCAGTGCTCAATTGCTTTGCAGTTTGGCACCCGAGCTGTTTCAGGTTCTGGGTCTCAGTTTCACTCTTTGTAAAATGAGAGGCTTTGAGTTCTGCTGACCTTGTCTGGGGGCCTCTAAAGCCCTTTTTTATGAAGACGGCCCACATCTCATTCATTCTCAGAAGTTTCTGGGCATCCCTGGCATCAGACAGCCCTGGCCACCTGTCCCAGTGGCACCCTGCCCCTCTCCCTCACCGGGCATGGCAGGCCTCCGGAGCCCGCCCTCACCTGGCTGTCATTCTGTAGCATGGCTCAGCACTGGACATGGAGAGAGAGCCTGAAGTTTCAGAGTCTGAGGTCTGCAGCCAGGCAGGGCTGAGGAGACATCTGTGCAGAATCCCAGATGACGCACATTGCCAGTATGAACCATAGTAACCTCACCAGGACCAACTTGGTTCCCACTTTAAGAGCTGAAAGTGTTCTTCACAATTATTGTGCTCAGTTATTTCATTTTAATGGGAAAATAAGGAAGCCCAGAGGGGAAGTCACAGGGACCATGGGGTGACAGAGCTCATCTAGAGGCTGGCTGGCCTCAGACTCCAAACAGGTTAGCCCTCGGTGCTCCCCCTTCCCCAAAGCCACACTCTTTTCCAAGTCTCTCTTTCTTTATTGGAAACCAACATACCCTTGGAAAGCCTAGGGTTTACATTTCTTTGGGTTTTGTTGTTGGCTGGACTGTTTTTCAGTTGAACCAATATTTATTAGGAACTTGTTATGTTCCAGGCACCATGCAAGGTGCTGAAAATACGGGGAGTGAAGAGCATGTGGCCAGTCCTTGCCCCTTGCCCCTCAGAGATCACAGTGTGGCAGGGAGGTTGGTGGGGACACGGAGACGGTAAGCTGCAGTGTGGTTTATGCTTGAGCGGATATATGCATGAGCTGCGGGAGGGCTGGAGCAGAGAAGGAAACGGTTTCCTCTGCTTTGTGGGACCCGTAGATTGATTCACTAGGGGAGACAGAGCCTGAATACGTTGGGGGAAGTCCTAGATGTGAGTCAGACTGCAGGAGAGCAAATGTATTGACTTGAATGTGTAGAACTGAGATGTAGTTAACATGGTGCATGCCCTGTGTGCACGAGAAAGATAAAGCAAAGTAAAATAACATAACAGATTGGCCATAGTTCTGTTCTGCATGATTCTGCAGGGGTGAGGGAACTGGGCGTTTGAGAGGCT